CACTCAGCAGCCCAAGGTTGGTCCGGGACAGTGGGGCAGGCAGAGATGGGGAAGCACTCAGCAGCTGAGGCTGGCCGGGGACAGTGGGGCAGGGATGGGGAAGCACTCAGCAGCCTGGGGCTGGGCTGGGACAGTGGGGCAGGGAGGGACGGGGAAGCACTCAGCAGCCCAAGGTTGGTCTGGGACAGTGGGGCAGGTGGAGATGAGGAAGCACTCAGCAGTAGCATCTAAAAATTCAAAAATGTGATCTTTCCTGTTTCATGGAACAGTGACAGAAAATGCAAGTGGACAGTCCTCACAGACAAGCCTGTATTCCGTAATACCGTCTGTGTTCTTGGTTGGAAGAGCTGCAAAGTCCTCAGCCTGTTAGAGGCACGGTGAGATGGAACACAAAGGAACTCACATTCTAGAGCGTTTGATCACAGAACCCTTCTGCTAAGGTAACAGTTATTTCCGTGGAACACCTTGGGATAGAGAAGAGGGGCGGGGCCTCCTCTCCCCACTCTGCACCTTATGAATTGCAGGGCGGGTCAATCTTTCATTTGCACCCTGGGCCAGACCCCTTTGTGCAGGGCCTGACTGTACCATAAATGTGCAGCCTGTCTGCGCAAGGACACGTGGGTAATGGGGCCATCCTTGGACTTTACTGACCAGGACCTGGAAGTCCACACTTGTGAATGAAGCTTCCTTGAGAATGCACACGTGAAAAAGCTTAGAAACCATGTAGAGACTACAGGTTTCTGTACAAACTAGCCACCAGGAAGAACTACTCGGGACAGGGGGCCACTGGCAACTCCAGACTCACACTGAACACAGGAGCCCTCAAGCACCTTAAAGAAGCTGATCTGAGTAGCTTTATTACAGAAAAAGAGGAAAACGCCCGGGCAGGCATTGCACAGAAGTTGGTAATAATTGAGAACAGCAGGAAGGAGACCTCGTGTCCCCTCCAGCCCACTTACTGCATGGTTTAGAGTCTGACCGTCTGGCATCGGTCCTCGGGCTTTGGAGTGGACTAGTTTTCCTGGAATATGCATTTATTGAACTCTGAAAGGCCAGATCTCCTATGCAGATTAATTCATGATTTCAAAGATTCTTTGAAGCTGGCAAAACATTCTGTTATTTCCAAGAGTTATTACAACTGAAATTTTGGCATAGACTGAGAGGTCAGCCTATAATCTTGTTTAGATCCTTTTAAATTTAGCAACTCTACAGTGGGTTAAAAATAGTTCACATTTGTGTACTTTTCCCTCCTTTCATCCCTACTTCAAGGGACTGTTCAGTCATTTTGACCCACCCCAGATTTCAGCCAGAGAAATTCTAGCTCTTCTTACCTAAGAGTTAGTGAAAGTCATTTCCAAGGGTTTGGGAGATTCTAGTCATAGGACTGAGCAAGGTGCTCTTTATCTTACATAATAAGTTCTAGAATTAAGAGCAAAGGACTATCACTAAGACCAGTCAGTACTATATAGACAAATGTTAAGTGGAAACTTGAGCCATGGGGAAAGGTTCCCACCTGCCGCCCTGCAGGGGCTGTGTCCTCCACCTGTCATGAGAGGTCAGAGTGGCAGGCCAGAAGCAGCTGTGTAGGGGTCAGGCTGCTGGTCACCAAAAGGTAAATAAAAATCGTCTTGATTTTAGAAGAGCTATAACACTGGATGTCATCTGCACAGGGCTGGCCAGGGTTAGCAGGGTGCCGGCGTTTTCATGCCCAGCAAAGAGAACATTACTACACTCAGGATGGCCTCTCCACAGCTACGTACCTTCATGAACATGCTGAATCCAGTTTTAAGGAGATCGGTGAGGCCTGAAGA